TAAAAAAATTAAAAAATTTACAACAACAATTACAGCCAAATACTCCCTAACAAAGCTTAAAGAAAATAATATGAGATTGAATATCACTAGACTTGTTCGTTTTAAAGTGCTCTTTTGCAGGTCTTTTTGGTCTTTTAATATCTATGATAACCCAAAATTGTCACTCAATTTTGGGTTAAAGCCAACTATCATCCCTCTACTTTGTAAAAAGGTTCAATTTAACCCTTCTACTATGGAATCACCTCAGATCGTCCCTCTACTTCATTTTGAGCTCACATGTTCTCCCTCTACCATTCAAAAAGTGATTAATTTCGTCCCTCCATCCATTCCATGGCTAACACAGTCACTTTTTACCATTAAAGCCTAACGGTTAGACGTTTAACTTATATTTTTATATTATTCTTTTCTCCAATTTGACTATAATAGGACCCACCAATGCCACATCAATTTCCATATTAATATCTTTATACATGAATATTTTACCACTTTTTTTTTTAATTATTAGCCACCTTTATTTGTATCTTTTTATCAACTTTTTAGTTGATTTAATTAAAGGGATCTAAAGTGTGGGGACTACTTAGCAATAAAACATTTTTCAAATTAAAACCTAAAAGCCGTACATGAGATTCATTTTTGGAACTGCCGCCCATTCCCTTAAATCAAGGTTTTTAAAACCAGACTGGTCATTAAACCATTTTATGTTTGATTTTCGGTTTGACCGGTTCAATCGGTTTAATCAATGAACCAATCGATTCAAATAACAAAGGAAATTTGATGAGAGGGATAAGTAATTTTGTAATTTCATTAAAATTAAGGGTTAAAATCGATATAAGAAAAGAATGGTAAGGGTGAAATTGGAAAAATCAAAAAGAAAATTGCATGAGAAATTGAACCAATAGTTTTTTCGGTTCTATCGGTTTCATCGATTTTACCAATTTTAACCGATTTTAAACGGTTTTGATCAGTTTTGACCGATTTTGACCTCAAACAGTTTTTTTATATGAACCAAATCATTTTTATTACCGATACCGGTCTGACCGGTTCAACCAACCGGTCCGGTCCGGTTTTAAAAACCTTGCCTTAAATGGTTGAAGCCGTGTTTCTTTCTATTGGGGTGTTATCAAATTTCTTCCAATGAGAACTGTGTGGTTCCAAATTATATCGTGAGATTAATCTAAGATATGTTTAGATAAAAATTAATGAAGGAGAGTGAAGGAAAGAGAGGAAAAGGAAAGAGAGGAAAAGGAAAGAGAGGGGAAGGGAAGAAGAGTAAAGGATTAATATTAATTTTGTTTGGATAAATAAGAAGAATGAGAGGGAGGGGATGATTATTATTTTTTATTTAATTAAATAAATTATAAAATAATTATAAAATTAATTAAAATTTTATAAATTTATATATTAAATTAAAGTTACAATAAATTGTAATTATGTTTTTGAAAAAAATTAAAAAATAAAATAAAATAAAAATAAATCAAAAGCCTCCTACTCCTCCAAATTGGAGAGATTAAAAATAAGGAATTTAGAGAGAGTCCATCCCCCCTTCATCTATCTCCCCTTCCCTTTCCCTCCCCCTCCCTTAATATCATTATCCAAACATAAGTGGAGAAACCTCTCCTTCACTCTACTCTCCTTCCCTTTGAACTCCCTCAATCCAATCAAAGGTCAAATGTAGTGAAGCCTAAGCATGTCCAAGGTAATTTATTTCTCAAAACTCTAGATTCTTGGTGGATTTCATAGAATAGCATAGAATTATTGATGTGGGTATCAACCTAATAACTTTCAGTGATACTACCATCACTCCAGCAACTTTTCGATGGTAAGTTTGGTGTCTACAGAAAACTCTTGAGTAGATCCTTGATTTGGAAGTAGTGGCACCTCATTTGGTTGAGTATTGAGTGAGATATTGGTTTTTCTTTATTTTTTGAAAATTTTGAAAATCAATTTTGACAGTTTTAAGTGGCTGATTTTGAACCACCAGCACAAGGCTTGCCAGCGGCATTTTCTGATGACAAAAAGTTGGCTTCTATAGCTTTTCATATGGTGTTTCATGTGGTATAAATAGTTTTCTCATATTATATTTGTATGGATAGAAAATGTGTTTTTAAATAGTCACAAAAATCATAAAATTTTAGAAAATGCAAAATTTCCAACATTTGAGAAATATCTTTAAAAATGGTTTTAACTTCTAAAAATTCAAAACTTATGTTTAATAATTATCCTTAAACCTTATATGGTATTTTTATAATTTTTATATAATAATTTTATTGCAAGAATATTTCTAAATTGAATTTATTTCACATATGTTTTGTAACTAGCTTCAGTAAGATTACATTTACAATTGGTTTGCTAAAATTTTTTATTTGAACAAATCATTTCAAATTTAATTTATGATGTTAGATGACATCAACAATCTATTTGACAAGAAACTTATTAACAGAGCAAGAAGTTAAAGATATTAGAGACACGGCTCGAGTTTAAGCCCGAGTGCCAGTCGCTTGGGCTTCTGTTGCAACCCCGCAAAACCTAAAACCTTAGGAGTAGGCTTAGTAAAATCGAAGCCCAGCCCATTTCTTATTTCTTAACTTTTAAATTTTTTTTAGGGATTCCACCAGCATTTTGGTTTCGGTGTTCAACATTAAATGTCAAGTCCTCTCTCTCCCTTCTTAGCATTTCATCGTGATTTTTGAAATTTAAAGTTGATTGGTCCTACCACCATTAATTTTTATTTTATTATAATATTATTTTTATTTTTATAATTCATTTTGATTTTATTTTAGTCATTGAAACAAAATTAAACTCTCAATTTGATTCCTTAATTATTGTATAGATTCCAATTTAGTGTTAAATTTAAAAAATCTTTGATTTGATCTCAACTATTTATTAGTTGGGGCCAAGTTGATTTTTTTATACAAAAACAGATAACAAATTTCATTAGATGATATATCTCATTATTAACGTAACACATGATCGTTTCGTTAAGTAACAGTTTTTTACTGTTAAATAATAGATACGTCAATTATTTTTTAATGAAATGATCAACTTGAAATCAAATTAATAAACAATAAGAATCAAATCAGGAATTTTTTTAACTTTAATACTAAATTAAGAATTCATATAATAGTTGAGAGACCAAATTAGAAGTTTAACCTTGAATCAAAATCTGATCCTATTTGCTCCTTTCTTCCTCATTTCACTCGCACAGCTTTTTGGCTTCTCTCCGACCTCTCTGCATCTTCTCTTCTCCATGTTTCTTTCCTTTTTTCATATATATTCTTTTTAAAATTTTTCTAAGGCAATATATTAAAAGTATTTTTTATTATAAAATATATATTTAAAAAATGTAAAAATTGATATTAATTTTAGTATTAGTGTCAAGTAAGTAAATTTAATTAGATAATTAATAAATTAAAAATTAATTTTTATTTTTTAATATAAATTTATGGTAAAAAAAAGATTTAATACATTTTTAATCTATACATTTAAAGTACAAATTAAATAAATCTTTTTTTTTTAAATAATCTAAGAAGAACTTGGCACTTACAAAAAGCACAGTTCTCACCTTGTGTTTACACCCATTTTTGCAAAATAGTATAATGATGCCACGTGTCATCCATGTTGGCAGATATTTCATTAGTTGAAAGTTGTTGGAGTAAATCTTTCTGGATAAGGTTGAGTGGTTATTTCCACAACTGCAGTAAGGTTGTTGGTTTGTTGTGAACTTCCAGGAGAATAATTGGTAGAATCAACAGAATAATCAGTTTGTTTCAGATTTCATGCTGCCGTTGATTGTCAAGTT